CTGAAGAGTTACTGGGTGTTTACCTCCCACACACACACTTGGAAAAGAAACTGGCTCCCCTGAAGCAGAAAACCAAGCAGACAGGGGGATCCGTGTACACATGGTTGGTTTGCCCCTCATGAAAAGGAAATCATGAAAAGAAGAATGTGGACAGGTGATACTGCATTGAGACGGTGACACATTGTCAGGTGCAGTCACACTCACTTTTCAAGTCCAAATGAACTACAAATCCTGGCAAGACCAGAGACTTCACACCAACCTTGCCTATAAACTGGAGCAGGGCCCCACCCAAACAAACAAGTACAAACATAATGTTTGCCTTCCCAGAGAAATGAGACAGTCAGATACTCCCTGGGCAGCCAGGTCCCTGCCACACCCCGTGTGTCCCCCGGCCTCTTCGGTCTATTTCAGGCCCCTGAGCAAGAAACTCAACTATCATGGGAAAATGTGCCCCCAGACCAGAGTGCAAACCCCTTCTCAACTGATCACTACCTGTGTGACCCCAAACCTCAGCTCCCAGCTCGGGTGAATGGGGCCTAGAGTAACTGTAGGGTTGCCAGGGAGATTTATGACATGATGAACACTAATGGGAATCTATATGAATAACAGAAATTATGGAAACGGAAAAAAGACAGAAGTAAAATACAAATTTAACCCACAAATACTTCTAAAACTTTCTTTGTGGCTTTGACTTAACATAAAAGTTATTAGAAACATTTTAGACAAACAAGGAAAGATAAGGGAGTTAGGGAGATTGATATTTCTCAACAGGAAAGGGCATTAAAGGATGGAGGTTGGGAGGAAGAGAGGGGAAGGGGAAGAAAAAGAGAATTGAAGGTGTTTTATGCCCAGGTACCAACTCCTCACATAGAATGTAAACAATATGAACTGCACACATGGACTAGTAAATGAAAATACAGAGTGCACTCACTCCCTGGCTCTTTCCAATTCTAATACTCGCAGTACTGAGCTACATGTTTAAAGAAGTGAGACACTGAAGACACAATGGAATACCCCGTTCTGGGTGCTCCTGCTCCACAGCCCTAGCTCCAGGCTGACTTCTTGGGCTCCTTTCCTCCATCTTAACAGTGCACAGCTGACTTCTCTCTGTGTGCTTCCTGCTTCTGCCTGAAGATTTACCTGCTTCCTCCTCCCACCATGGCCAGCCATCTCAAAAGATGCTCCTTATTGAGGCTCCAGCTGATAGTGGTCAGGCCAGAGGAGTGATGAGTGCTCTCACCATCGATGGACAGTTGGCAGACACCACACCACGGGGTTCTCATATCTCTAAACGGTAACCATGATCCATGTTTTGGAAAGACAGAAACCAAGAAGGACCTGCCCACGACCCAGGGCTAGTAAGCGGAAGCACAGAATTCAAATGCAGGCTGTGCCCTCGTAGCAGAACAGAAGGAGCAGGTCTCTCCACTGCAATGAACCCAGTTAGTGACCCCGAGGTCCTAGGATTTTCAAGTGTGGGCTCACAGATGTGCCCTACACAGTCAGTTTTCTGTTCACTCTTTATGGAACCAGAACTTTCAGAAGTACTTGCACAAATAAAAGAAACAAAAAGAAAGGAATGCCCAGGAAGGTAGGAGAGGAGTTTAACCTGTTTCATCCAAGACTTAGTAACATCTTTAATTTCTATGCACCAGGAGATGCAGTCAGGAGACCCAGATTCCAGATGTGATCTCAGCACTTACAAGCATGTGACTGCAAGGAAGCAGGTCCTTCCCTTCCCTCATGAGGCCTGTTTCCACATTTGTAAGATAGGGGGGTAATAATATCTTCCCTGCCCACAGCCCAGGGGGTGTTTCAGGGACCCTGGAAGATAATGGGGCAATAGTGAACATGTCAGTGCACCACTTGCATCTAGACAGTCTGTGCTACCAGTCCTGGGAGGTTGAAGGGTGGGGCCTCTCAGCCCCCCTCCCAGCACCCTCCTCCGGGGACTTAACCTTCAGCAGCCCCGTGATCACTGGCTTTGTGAAGAACCCTTTAGTGATTATTCAGCAGGCTCACAATCCTGACAATAACTGAAATTATTCTACTTAGTACATGCCCAACACTATGCTGGGTATTTTGTATTTTTTGTTAATCTTGAATCATTAAAATAATTCTGAATGCTAAGTGTTGATTTATAAGTTAAAGACAGATTTATTTTTTGTGCTTGCTTTTTATATACTAGACTCACAGGTTGATTTTAGTCTTACACCAAGAAAAACTGGACAATCACTGAGAATTTATAAAACAGAGCACTAGAATAGCTGATGTATGTATGGTGGGGTGAGTTCTCAATAACAAGGTGAGAAATCATTCCTTGCACAGGCATTATGGAAAGGTGGGCATTATTATACGTCCTTTACAATGAAGGAAACTGAGGGTCGGAGTGGTGATAATGTGGTCAAATCCACACAGGCACAGGCGGTGAGGCCAGAGTTAGAGCCTAAGGCTTCGTAGATCCAGTGTGTTTTCTTTCACCCACTCCATACCCTTGCCTGTAGAATCCCTGGCTGTGCCTGGCCTCATCACACTGCATCCCTTCTCCCTGCACTCACAGCCACCCTGCCCCAGGCTTCCCTGAAACTGGGTGTCAGGCAGGTGGGTGAGGGAGAGATGGGGACCGGTAGCCTGGGCAGGTCTGAGCCTTAGAGTAGGAAGTGCCAGGATGGTTTTTGTGAACACTCCTAGCAGGGGTATGGAGCCAGGAGCACCAGCAGTGACTCCAGCCCAGGACATGTAACCTAGGCACCTGCCCCACAGGAGAACTTGGCAAGCCTGAGTGCGTGGATTACCTTTATGGAATGTTTTGGAAACAGCAAAAATTAAAAAATAAAGAAATGAAACAAATACATTATTTACTTTGAACTGGGCAGGGAATGGGCAAAAACAGAAGGGAGAATTAGCCAGTTTGTGTGTGCCTTTGGGCAAAGCCTGGCAAATCCCAATAATTAAGGGAGGAGTTGAGGGAGGGGGTGAGAGTCACATTGGGGGTTCAGTTCATCTTCCCACTGAGGATATCTAAGCCATCTTCCTAGGACCTCAGTGCAACTTAAAGAGCTTGAGGCATGGGCCCCAAGAATGCAGGGCCTCCTGATGCCCAGGAGGACTCTGGCAGGACAGCCAGAGCTCTGCCAGTGACACAGGCTTGTGGCTGCCTAGTCAATCCTGGAAAATCGAGAAGATGGGAAAGACATTTTAAAAATAAAAAAAAGTCTAAGATTTTTAGTATCTTGGCATTTATAAAGCTTTGGGATCTAGTGCTTGCTCTACTTAGCTTAGAGTCTCAGAATAAGCTATAAACTACAGACAGTCACACTCCACTTACTGATGAGGGATGGAAGCCCCTGGGAGGTAGTGTGTACTGATCCTCATACACAGGCACAGGGAAGCGCAGTCCTGGGTGCAGTACAACATGAGGGCCTCTTCACCAGGGAGGGGATCCTGAAACTGAGCAGAAAAACACAACCATGCACAAAATAGGTAGAGAAGGGCAGACTCCAGGCAGATGACTTTGCAAAGACTTGGAAACCCAAGGAAGGCTAAAGAGTTTAACAGGAGCAAGATGACCACAGTTGCAATGACAGCAGCCAACACCTGTTTTTTGCTTACTATATGCAGACACTGTCAGAACAAACTCTTTTCTAAGCAGCAGTCTTCACTGTCTACATTAATTCTCACACCTTTCTGTGAGTAAATGCTGTTTGCAAATGAGAAAACTGAGGCCCAAAGAAGTAGCTTGCTTCAAAGGTTGTCTACTAACAATCTTGTGTTATTTAAGAAGTATGAATTTCATCCTGAGATCCAGGAACACACATACAAGGAGCTGGAAGGGTCCAGACCCAGACCAGAGGGCTTGAAGGGTCCTGTGATCTAGAGAACTTGGTGCCAGGCAGGGTGGCCATGAGCAGGAGGACAGAAGTTGGAAGTGATAAGGCTGTTTGTTCCTGGAAGTCCTGCAGAAGGGCAACAGGGACAGAGAACAGAGGGACATTCCCAGAGTTGCTGGCATCAGTGGGTAAGGGCCTGTCCCTCACAGACATGTCCCTCTGCCCCCTGTACCTATGGAGCCCAAATCATAGGCTCCCATCTCCGGACCTTCCTAAGAATTGCTGCAAAATGAATGAGCCAGAGCCCCGCGTAGCTTTTAAGTGCCAAACACCATCCTTGTACTACTGGTAGGGCACGTTACCAGCTGAGCTATAAAACGTGCTTTAGCAAAGGACCTGGGAATAATTACAGCTTGCTAATTATTGTTAATTTTACTACCGCTTTGGAACTCTTAACTTTCCCAGTGATTCAAAGAGATTGCAACCCCTCCGTCCTATTAAAGGGGCCACACAATGGCAGCCCAGTGATTTCACACCCATCTCATGCCTTCCCGTGGTGCTCACATGGATGCAGAGAGGAGAAAGCAGTCATTTCCCCTCTTAGAATCACACTGCACTCAGAACCCGACACGGTCTTGCCAGCTCTTTCAATCCCGTTTAATCTCTACTCAGCAGACGTAAACGCTGTGTGCGAGCTTTTCATGCACTGAAGACCAGGACATCTGGGTTGTAGGTGCGATGTGCTGACTGACAGAACTGCTCCCTAACTTTTTCCTCAGGTCCCCTAACAGCCAGGTAGACGGCTTCGATGCCTCAGGACTCTGAAGGAGCAGGGCTGGGCGAGCTCAGGCTCCGGGCAGCATCCTGGAGACCTAAGAAACGCGGCTGAGCGCCTGCCGGCCGCGAGACAAGCAGAGGGCGCGATGATGCAGGCTCGGGAAAGGTCTGTGTTAGAAGGGCTGCGGAAGGCAGAGGGCAGCGGAGGGGCTCGGGCAGGGCCGGCGTAGGCAGGAGGGAGAGAGCGGCGCGGCTGGGAAGTGCCGGAGCCCGGCGGGGTGGCAGGCGGTGCCGGGCGGGGCGTCGCCCCGGGGCCGGGCCGGCAGTATCGGTGTCCCTCTTGGCTCTCGGTCGGAGGAGGCGGGGCAGCGTCCCCGGCCCCGATCCTATCGCGGGCGGCGCAGGGCAGGCTGCGCCCTCCGTGGGACTGGGCGTGGGGTGGCACCCAAATTCCCCAGCGCACCCGCGGCGGGCGGGCGGGCGCGTCGAGGGCTTAAGAGCTCGGGAGCCGCCGGCGCCAGACGCCCCAGCCCGCCGCAGCATGGCCAGGCCCCCGGGTCTCACGCCGTTCCTGGCGCTCCTGGCGCTGTCCGCCGCGGCCCGTCCGGCGGGCGCGCAGCACAACTGCACTTGCCCCACCAACAAAATGAGCGTCTGCAGCCTCGACGGCCCGGGCGGCAGCTGCCGGTGCCGCGCTCTGGGCTCGGGCGTGCTGCTTGACTGCTCCAGGCTCACCGCCAAGTGCCTCCTGTTGCAGGCGCGCGCGCGCGCTCCTCCACGGGGCCGCTCGCTGGTGTCGCCCGGGCCGCTGGCGATAGTCGACAACGACGGTTTATACGACCCGGAGTGCGACGGCGAGGGTCGCTTCAAGGCGCGCCAGTGCAATGGGACGTCGGTGTGCTGGTGCGTGAACTCGGTGGGCGTGCGCCGCACTGACAAAGGCGACCTGGGGCTGCAGTGTGCCGGCGTGGTGCGCACGCACCGCATCCTCATCCACCTGCGCCACGGCCCGGACGCCGCGCTCAACCACTCCTTCCTGGACGCCGAGCTGCGGCAGCTGTTCCGCCAGCGCTACGGTCTGCGCGCCGCCTTCCTGCACGCCGTGCGCTACGACGCGCCCACGATCCAGATCGAGCTGCGCCAGAACGCGTCGCAGAAAGCGCCCGGCGACGTGGACATCGGCGACGCCGCCTACTACTTCGAGCGCGACGTCAAGGGCGAGTCGCTGTTCCCGGGCCACCGCGGCGCGGGCTTGCCAGTGCGCGGGGGTCCCCTGCCCGTGGAGCACACGCTCATCTACTACCTGGACGAGGAGCCCCCCGAGTTCACCATGCGGCGCCTCACGGCCGGCATCATCGCCGTCATCGCGGTGGTTTCGGTGGCCCTGGTCGCCGGCGTGGTTATCCTGGTGATCACCAACTGGAAGAGGTCGGGGAAGTACAAGAAGGTGGAGATCAAGGAGTTAGGGGAGTTGAGAAGGGAGCCAAGCTTGTAGGTACCCGGTGGGACTCGGACGGCTGGGAACCAGACACACAGCGTCCCAGGTCTCAGAGAGCACCCACTTCCTTCTGGGCCGCAGGCATTGTTTCTGTTCCTAAGCCCCTGCCTCCTCCAGCTCCTCACTCAGTGGGCTTGATGGATCTGGGTCTCAGCCACACCGCTTTCTGAGTTGAATCTTGAGGGACGCACTTCTAAAAGTCCTTTTCTTTGGGTCCAAAGTCAAAAAACAGGACTGAGTTACCCAAGGATGGCGCAGGATCAGCTGTAAGCACCAAGTTTCCAGCAACCCAGCGTCCTCCGCAGGTGATGGGAATCAGTCTGGGAAGGGTGCTGGCGCTAGGTTGAATGATTTGATCTCTCCTGAATCCCTGGGAAGAGAGGACTCATTACTAGAGCCGGTGTAGGAGGCCTAGCCACCATCGTTTAGGTACCACCGTGTGTCTCATCCCCAGAAAGAATCCTGTCTCCCTGCCTGAACGCATTTTGGGGTTTTTTGAGGCCTCACTGCCTGGCAGTCTCCTCCTCAGCGCACCCTGATTATGGCTGATAATAGTAGAGTTTTCTTTTGTAAAATGTTTGTACATATGTCCACTTTGATAATGCTGCTGTGATTTTTTTAAAGACACGAATTTAATAAAACATGGGAAAGGCACAAATGAGAAGCCTCCTGTAATTTCCACAATCGCCGCCCCCCCCAAACTGTAACTCTTTCAGAAGTGACCATTTTGTGTTGACACTGGTGTTTCTTATACTGTCCTGTCTACTGAAAATGCTGCTCTTCTAAGATTATTTGGAAACAGCCTTTAGACTGCAGGGGGTGGGCCTGTGGGAAGCAACTTCCAGGGCCTTGGAGAGTCCAGGCACTTCAGCTATCCCTAACAGGGCTTCCCACTGTGGAGAGAACAATTTGAGAATTTGTTTCCCAAGCTGTTTCTCCTCCTGATTTAATTTTCTGCACTAGTGACTGCAGAGTTAAGCTATGAATACCTGTCCTCTGGCACTCAGAGTGGAAAAGCACTTCCATGTATATGATCTCTGAGACACTGACTTGCTGGAGACAATGGTGTGTTGACAAGACCTGAGTTCAAATCTTGCTTGGTTGGCTAGCATGTCACGTGACAACCCTTTTTCCTCATCTGTGAAATGAAACTACAAATCCCTGTCTCCCTGTTGTGGAGGTAAAATGAGGTAATTCAGATGTGAGCAATTCGGGGAATTCCTGAGAGTTCACTGCGCTGAAAATGTTCTGTGTTCTGAATTGTATCCACTGAACACAGGTCTGAAGAGGTTGACTAAGCTGAACCCATGTGCTCCAGGGTTCACATTGCTGGCTTTGAATCCTAGCTCAGGTGGCTGGCCAGTGAGCGGGCAGACGCCTTTTTTACTGTTTCCTGCGCGCCCCTCGTGCCCCTCGAGCTGGGAACTCGAGCCACCTGCAGGGCTTTTCGGCCTCCGCCTCCGGGATCTTCCTCCCTCCCAACTCCTCCAGTTCTGCTTTGCCCTGGGAAGGCATGCGAAGAGCAGGTGTGGCCTCCGCAGCAGGTCCCAGCTTGTCTTCTGAACCAGCAGGAGACTCAACACGTTTCCTCGCGTAAGTTTTCTCCACTCTTGCTTTTTAAATCCCCCATCTTGCCACCACCACTTGCACAGTTTTCTCTTTATCTTTTCAAGTAGAGTCTTAGAGCTAGAAAGAAGATCATGTTCTCCAGCTACCTATTCTAGAGACAGAAGGGATTTGCCCAAGTCAGGCGGAGAGTGAGAACCAAAACCTGCTTCTAGGCAGTTCTTCCTTCCACCACCTCCCCGAGGAGTTTCCTCCTTACTTTTTATTTATGTTCTTAAATTGTGTCTGTGCTTGAGCTTTTGAAAACCACTTACATGAGAGAGATACTCTAACTAAATAGAGAATGGATGAGCTTTGAAGTTCCCTGGTTGTGGTTTTCCTACTTGTAAAACAGGCCTGGTTTTATCTACCGTGCTATGCTTTAAAGGTCAGAGAGAAGATCTAAAAGGATTGACTATTCCGGGAGTGGTCACTCTTGGTTGAACATAACAGGTTTCCTAAGAACCTGAGGAAAACATTACCAGCACTGGTCGAACTCTTCCTCTGCAATGTGAACAGGATGCTCTCACTGGTTTTCGGGGGGCCTCTGTACACTGGATGTCTGCAGGGGGAGCAGCAGGGTGACCCTGCGAGCCACCTGCTTCAGGGAGGCAGAGTGTGGGCACCCCAGTGCCTGGCCTGCCCCCAAGCAACTGATCTTCTTGTCTTTCTTTTTAAACTACAAATCGAAGAGCGCTGTCTTGAAAATCCAAAATCCCAAATGCTCTAAAATCTGAAACTTTGAGTGTTGACCTGACACCACAAATGGAAAATTCACATGACATGTCATGGTCAATAATGCAGAAACATCTAACACATTGTGTAAAATTGCCTCCAGGCTGTGCGTGTAAGGAGTGTGCACAGCGTAAATGAGCCTCGTGTTTAGGCTAGTATTTGTAGTATCTGTAGTATCTATCACTATGTGTATACAAGTATTTTGAAATCCCCCCAAATAAAAAATCTGAAATTCTGTTCTGGTCCCAACTATATTGGATAATTTGATATTACTGGGTCTCTGTAACAGTGTTTCATTTTATTTTAACTTACTTTTCACCCCGATTGGTTTGAGTGGCTGTATTGTTCATGTAACTGGAGGAGAAAATGAAGAGATTGAGAAGTTAAACGGGTTGTTGAAAGCTGCACATTGAATGGGGGGCACACTTGGGGTAAGACTGAGGTGAACTGTCCCTCTTATCCATGTTCTAACCAGTGGACTGCACTGCCTCATCATGAAGTTGCAGGGCAGAGTACATTTGTTTTCTCTTGCTTCTCTGACAAAGTACCATAAATTTAGCAGCATAATCAACACACTTTGGCGACCTTACAAGTCCACCACAGGCCTCACTGAGCTAAAATCAGGTGTCAGCAAAGCTCAAGTCCTTTCAAAGGTGCAACGCGAATGTTTCAGATGTGGGAACAAGACCTACACTTTCTTGCTGGCCAGAAACAGAGGGCTTTTCCTGTTTCTTCATCTTCAGAGCCAGGGAAGCTGCAACTCTGTCTCCCTCACCTCTCTTCCTTTGTCCCGTCTCTTCCTGATCGCAGCTGGGAAGTTCACCCATTTGTGAGGAATCGTTTGATTAGAATGAGCCCACCAACATAATTCAGGTTGAAATGGTTCTGTCTCAAAGTCTCCAGCTTAATCATAGCTGCAGAGCCCCGTTGCCATGTCTGGTGACGTTTTCACAAGTTCTGGGGTTGGGACGTGGATATCTTTCATAGGAGAGTGCACTGTTCTGTCTACAACAGAGGACAGCCTTGGATCCATGCTCCTAAGAGTATGCTATACTGCTTCTGTGAAAATGCTAGGCAGAGCAGATCTGTATTTAGTCATTGCTATCTATCTACTGAACGTGCCCTCCTCTGATTCGTATGTTGATACCCCCCTAACCTGTGTGATGTTATTAGAGGGTGGGGTTAGGGTCCTTGTAACAGGGATCTCAGGGACGAATGCCCCTGTCACCATGTGAGGACACAGCAAAAACATGGTCAGCTAGGAAGCAGCCCTCAAGAAAGGCCTCTTGATCTTGGACTTCCTAGCCTTGAGAGCTCTGATAAACACATTTCTGTTGTTTATAAGCCACCCCATCCAAATTTCTGGCACAGCTACAAAAGACAGGTGGTTCCTCTCCAGGTCTCTTTTCTGTCCCCCTCTTAAACACATCTTTTCCTAGGAGGAAAATAACCTCCAGAAAGAATTATTCATGTATTTCATATACAGGGTCATATAGTGTCTTACTTTTTACTCACTGCTGAGACAAAATACCTGAAGCACCAAGTTGGCAAAGGAAAGGTTTATTTCTTACAGTCTTTGGAGGTTTCAGGCCGTACTCATTGGCTCCGAAGCGGGGTGGCATGGCTGGGCCCCAGTTCATGGTGGCTGCAAACAGCAAGGAGGAAACAGGAGAAAGAGCGAGACATACTTTCTTCCTGCCATTACATTAGATCCTGGCTCCACCCCTAGGCCAGTGTAGTACTGACACCCCCAATCCAAGCCCTAGACAATGAGCCAATCACAAATGCACAATGCAAATGCATGAGGCCTGGGCACCACCAACATAAACCATCACATATAGGATACTGGTACCTAAAAGGACTCAGGAGAGATGCATTGAGTTCAGCTAGTCCCAAAGGTTGCCAGTGACTGAGCTCAGCACATGTCCTAGCACTGGCCCATTGTCTCTTGCTTTTCTAACAGCCCCACAGATGTGAGATAAGTACTGTCATTCCTGCTTTACTGATGAGGAAATAAAGCATTAAATAAGAAGTCACACGGCTGATAATGAGTGCAGTTAAGAGTTCAAATCCAGGCTGTCCTCCTCAGAGACTGTTCCTACTGCCACACCCTGCCACATGCAAAGCACAGTCTGTTATTAGGTACAGATCTATGGGAGTTGTTTACGGATTCTTTGTGTCCTCAACATAGAACTGAGCAGGACACTCCGGAAGAGGAGCAGGAGTAAGATTTATTAAAAAGAAGCAACAACAGCAAGCAAAGGAAGCCAAGGTCCAATCACAGGGTGGTAGTGGGCCCGTGAAAAGAGTTCACAGTCCCAGTGGGTCAGCTTCTGGGTCTTGTAAGTTCCTGGGATCATGGGAGGGTCTGTAGGTGGGAACTGACAGGGGTTATGGCCCCAAAGCGTTCCTGATGCAACCCACCCATTTGGCAGGGGAGGTTTTGACCATGTGCGATTTTCAGTGGCAATGTCATGGTATCTCCAGTTCCTGGGGGGTTGGAATCACAATGCAAATGAGGTTGAGTGAGGCCAGGGTCACATACTTTTGGGTTTTGTGTTCTTGGAACTTTAGGGGGACCGGGTGACTTTCATCTCTGTGTGTGGTTGCTTTGGCACAGTCCTTTTTGCCTGCCTGATTGCTTGATTCTTGTCTGGCAGCTTTCTGTTTACTTGTCCTTGTTCCACTGCCTGCCTCAGAATGACATTCCAGGACACAAAGAGATGTAGCTGGGATGCTTATTCTCAGGGATCTAGGTGCAATCCCTCTGCGGACCACATGGGGCCTGAACAGATTTCTTTACAACCCAGCACATCTTGGAGGAGGACATGCTCCAGTTGTAATTTCCTCCTGGAACCATCCTCAGCCATTGCAAGTACCATCAGAAAGCTCATTATTGCCTTTGGTGGTGAGCTCAAGGGAAAGATTATCGAAGGGGGTTAGGTTGTTGAGTTAGGCCCTCTCACCACTAGAGGGTGAACTGACAACAGGAGAACTATGTCCCCTGGCCACCAGCAAGCCATTCTCCTGCACTGCAGTGGAAATCTTCAGGTGCATGGTGTACAATGGGCCCAGCAAGTTGAGGAAGTTTCATTTGTGTTTGTCAGCCGCAATCTATTTCTATTATAATCAGGAATCCTGACTAACAGATGCTATGACCTTATGGAACTTAAAAGCTGGAAGCAAAGGCAACGATTATCTACATAATAACACTGTTTTAGGAGTTAGATTTCTCCCCATGTCTCACCACTCAAAGTATATTCAGAAGCAAAAAGAAGAAAAAGAAAGGTACTTAAAAACTAAATGAAGGTTTCTTAA